AACTCCCTCAAGCACCCTTTCACCGGCCTTCACTACTTTCCCCTTTCAGTTGGTATAGGCTGCCGGATATGCGAAAGAAACGTTCTTGGACGGCTGCGGCTGCTCTACCAGACGGGCGGCTATTCCTATTTGGCGGTGTAGGCGGCGACAATTCGGTTGAATTCTGCTGTTTGACGGGCTGGCGAAAAACCAGATCTTCCAAAACAGACGCCTTTTGGCGAGAAGCCGCGCCGATGGATTGGTGCTGTGCGGAGCGTTACGGGCTGGCTGCAACGGTTTTCCAACAGAACATCTTAGTGGCAGGCGGTGCGCCAAAAAATGAAAAAGCGGTGCAGGTATTTCATCCACCCGCCGTCGGCAAAGATGCACTCGGACAATGGACTCAACTTAATGCACAGAAGCTAAACAAGGAGCGCGTTGTCTTCTCGCTCCTTGTTTACCAGGGCAGGATTTTTGCCCTTGGTAGTTGTTTTAGTAAGTTGTTGTTCATCCATTTTTGTTTTTCATCACAGGCAGTGTGGTTGGTTTCGGGGCAGAGTGTACTTTTCAGGCTATACCCTAAAACTTGGCAGGGTTGTTAGAAATTCATTTGGGCAGATCCATGCTATTTGGGCAGTCACTGCTCATCTCGATACATTTTACGGCTACTTTATCCGCTTGCGTACGGCATTTCCCTCCTTGTTCAGTGAGTGCAATCACCTCTCATACACGCTTTTAAAAATAGAGAATGACGCATACATATATGTGATAGTGTGTGGCTCACAAATATTGTAAAGGAGTCTGCATATCCCGCTGTGCCCCGCAGATCACTCTAGGGCTCTCGTAGGGTGTGGGATAGCGACTTGTAGTATATTATGGTAAGGTAAAACCCGAATGGCCATTTCAGGCTTAGAAGTCGTCAACAGTCAGCCATAACCGCAAATTTCTGTGTGACCGTTTGCGTGGGCTCTAATGTGAATTCCGGGGTACAACGGGACATACACGTTCCCTAGCCAGATCGATGACCCCCACACTATCATTTTATTCTCGATTGCGACCGACAAAAACAACGGGCTTAATGGTACAGTCAATAACCAAAAGGCATGAGTTCGAATCTAGGTTCATCCACACCTGGGAGCAGGTATGACTGGCTGACGACGGCTACTAAGCCATAAATGACCATTGTGGTTTCCCTTGTCTTGGTCGGTTCTACCTTTCATATATTTTATATGGCGAAGATAATTTCTGAAATTATTACAGTGATTGTTCTCAGAATTGCAAGTCCCCCATAGAGAACATTAGGGGGGTGCACTAATGCATAGAAACAATTGCCACTACATCATACAGCATCGAAAACATTAGTGAAACGCATTTCTTGATTGATAGTTAGTACCTATGTCGGGAGTTTAGTGTAATTTATTTGTCCTATAAAATGCATACTACCTGTATTGTTACTTGTTTGTAGAACCGGTATTAAGTGGTTGTTCCACAGTAAGTGATTTTTTTCGACTCAAATTTTCGTTGGAATTTCGGGCCTGACCCTAAAATGTCATGTTCCGGTTATCCAGCTCCGTGTCCTGCACCTAATAATTTCCGGAATTATCACTTTATTATAGAATTAGTAATGCTTATGCATGTGTAGGTTTATGAAGAAGGAGGAAGGTTCGTACGGACACTTCAGGTTTACTCGTGAATTTTCAAGTAGGTAACACCGGCCCGTCGTCGGACGAAATATAGA